GCTTTGTTAATACAGCTGTCACTAATTTGTCACGGATGTTTTAGGTCCCTTGAAGGCCATGACTGGTGGTGAGAAAAATACTTTTTTTCAAATTGGAGTCGTTCTCTATAACTTTTTCAATGCTTTCGAACAATGGATGACACATTTTTAAAAACAGGACGGTAGGTAAGTACAAGAGGTTTTCTGTTGACTCCTTTATTCTTATCCATTGTACTCCAGAAGTTCTTTGCGGTGAGCAACTAGATGTTTACGTAGTTGGCCAAGTCTATAATTTTGCTTATTTTCAGTTGACATATAACTGAAAATAAGCAAAATACTAGATTATCAGAGTTCTACAGGTACAGCCAAAATTCTTCAACAAATCTTTGTATTTAGGAAGGAATTTGGTGCAGTTAATTTTATTAATGTAGGGTAATGAAATCTCCGACTTAATAACTTCACCAGTACTTCATCAATTACGATCATTGAAATCTACCATCCAAAAAGGGAAAATCAACAATCGGGAACGTGAACGGGAAAATTGTCTCTTTTGTCATAAATTTTTATATAAATCTTTTGATTACACAATATAACTGTAGCTCCCAAACTACAAACGTTAGTTTAGGTATCGCTTCTTTATATCGGTAATTTGAAATAAGTGGGCATACTTATCACCTTTAAATAGAAAAGAAAGGATATGATGTGTCAATTCATAGGACAAAATCACAGCACGCTCTTAAAAAAGCAAAAGCAAAGAAATAGTGCTTTTTTTGCTATGGAGCCCATATGTTTTGTTTTATATTATATTTAATCTTGTATGGAAGTCTTCGCTAAAACAACTTATATCAGTAATAGGGCAAATGCCAATGACCAACAAGTGAATCGTAATTGATAAAACGTTTAATTGATTTTTGCACTCGTATGATTAGCTTTAGCTATTATTTCATTTTTGTTTTAGGTTCAGGGTGATTACAAAACCGAGTAAGGATTTGAGTTACCATAATAAAAGGCGTACAGATGTATTAAACAAAACTTATGTTGATACAATTAATTTTAAAATCATAAAGAGATGTATATAAAAAATCACTATTGATCAAACATAATATATGTTATATAGTGATACAATAAAGTATATACATTATTGGAACAAATGTTCTTTTCTTAATACAAACAATGTTTATCATTACAAACAGAGTTAAAAACTACCAAGTATACAATACATCCCAGAAAACAATCATGTGTACTCATATATAATGGTTTATATATCAGCAAAACTACCTCAATTAGCAAAAATCGAACATCTAGGACATGGACAAAAACACCAGTAATACATTAAAAGGATGAAAGGAATCACGTAAAATATTATAGCGTTATTAACTGGCTGTTTCTGTATTGGCCCTGTTATAGATTCGAGGTTAGTTGTATTGGACCCGAGACTCGAAGAGTCGAGGGCCAATGCAGCTGATCGAGAATCTATAACAGGGCCAATACAGAAACAGCCAGTTCATGACACTTTTTTTAAATGATTTTCATTCTTTTAACTTACCGTGAAGAAGATACAGAATTCATAATCTGAACTTGTCTTTTCGCATTCACGTCCATGGATTTTTTTGTCAACAGTGTCAGATGTAATTTCTGATTTCTCGTCCAAGTACTTAATAAATATTATGCTATTACAATTCATTTTATCTAGCAAATATAAAGTAGCTGGGAAGAATAAATCAGACAGTTTTTAAAACTATTTTTACTCTTGGATCGTCTGCGTTCTGATTATTGATTACCGGAAATAAAACAGTGTCAATAATCGAAAGTCGTACTCGAAAAGGCTGTGAAATATCTCCGTTTCAAGACTTCAAGACGTAACAAAACACTGAACATCATTTAAACTTTTTATTTTATGATTTCAAGTTAAAAAAATATAATACAAATGTTTTTTTATGCATAACGATACGTCCAAAGTTAAGTAAGGCGTAAGAAAATTGAAACCGTAAGTGAACGTCCCGTATTAGCCCATGGGCCAATACGGCTTTTTTTCCGTATTGGCCTTGTTTTTTCCGTATTGGCCCTGTCCGAAAAGTAATATTAATTCTTGATTTATATCAACAGGGCAACGTCATTAGTATTGCACATGCTGATTTATCCGTATTTGGGCTGATTTGCTCATATCTATTAATAATGATCAGTAAAACAAATAATACCAACCACCAACACTCGACTCCTTTGACAAAATAGTAAAACAAACAAAGACAAACAATAACGAACAACACATGGTCCACATAACCTCACTTGTACGCGGGGCAAATAGTGGTAGGGTTTACTTGCTTACCCACCTACCCTTGCTTCTCAAGACAACATGTTGTGAAATGAAAATATACAATAAAGAACCTCCACAGTGCAATTACCAACAGAATGACTCGAACAAGGAAAAAAATACATTTGGAAAGGAAGGTTAAAATGTGCTCGCCATGACAGGAAGCTAACTGAGGTATCCACAGCTTTTGGTTGAATACTGCCTCTCATAGACTATATACAGGAGAAGGTGAGCACTGCAGTAGGTTACATTTTTTCTGTTCAAAAGATAATTATATCTGTGTTTTCCACCCAAATGACAATGAATTAGTGAATAAAGTAGCAAAACGAAAAACTAACCACAATAAACCAAAGTTGTTATCATGGAATTCAACGATTTTTTTTAACTATGACTTGATATATCTGCTAATAATTAGATTTTCAAAATGAGATGCTATTTCATTAAAAATTGTAGCGATGCAGAATATCAAACTGTTTTACTGTTGTATCGTTTGGTATTATTCGTAACGTATACAGCATATACAGGAGAAGTGTTCATACTTTCTGTCTAGTATAGAGAAATTTTCATATTAAGAATTGAAATTGTCCAGAAGTTTCTTAAATTTGAGCATGAAGATGTGTTTGATGTATTCCCGGATTTCTATGGGAATTGAACATACATGTACCTCGTTTCAGATTATGAAAAATCTAATTTGTGAAAAACTACACTGATTCCAACAACAAATAAATACCGTAGATAATATCATCAAAATGCTGAACTTTTTGATCGATTACATATTTGCTGAGTTTAGTGGATGGATATTTCAACATACATTCGGTATTCCAATGAGTGCTTATAGTGCATCCCTACTGGTTGACCTGTTTTTGTATTCATATGAAGCAGAAATAATAAGAAACCTTTCACAAACAAAATAGAAAAAAAGCATCTTCCAAGGTTCTTTGATTTTATTTTCATATATATTGATGATGTCCTGTCACCCTATAACCCGCATTTCAATGAGTTCTTGCATCTCACATATCCCTGTGAACTTGTGATTAAGGATACTATAGAAACTATAAGATATGATTCATATCTTGACCTTTTCCTCAATATTGCCACAGATGGTGAATTCACGCTAGAATTAATGACAAACGTAATGATTTCAACTTTCCCATTGTCAACTTCCCACTTTTAAGCAGTAACATGCACTCTGTCCCATTGTTTGGTATTTACATACACCAGTAATCAAATCTTTAACTTAAACGGTCATTTTGATCTGAACAGCTCTGAAAAGACTAAACAATGATTATTAAGTCAGTTTCAACCTTTCAGTTAATTTTTAAAACTTATCCAATGCGGTAAACTAATTACTGTTCACACAGACAGTTAGCATGCAGTGAATTAAGATCTGTTCAGACTAGGTTCAGATTGCTCAGTAGTCATTATTTATCAGTACAAATTAATAACATACTGCATTGTCTGAAAATATACTGAGCAGAGCTTGATTGACTACAAGCTGAATATCTGAACAGCACTGACTAAACTACAAGATTAGAAAATATCCGAAAATAACTTACCCTATCAACAAGACTTACGTTTTTAATTTCAGACTTTTAAGATAATGTTAAAATCAAAATGACAATTTATTCTCCTTCAACAGAGTTAGGAGGAAGAACGACTGAACTCGACACTACATAAGTTGTGCTGTCACCATCACAACTTGGTTGACCGATAAGATGTGTTTGTGTCTCGTCTCACTTGTGATATGTTTTTACCGTCTTAGATTTTTTATACCAGAATAGTCGTCTGATCTGTAATTTTACCGATTTAGTCCCATTCCCGATATTGACATTTTGACTGAGAGTGGATTTTCATGGCGGGTATTTCATGCATAGCAGGAGACGCTTACCGTACCCAGTCTCACTCCTTTTAAAGTTCATGCTAGTATCTAAAATTTTGTTTGTTACCTTTATTTGTATCTTCTTAATCGATTTATGAGATTTCATCAGCAATAAATTACCTTTGCCTTAATTTATAAAAAAAACATGTTTTTTTCCTGTATTTCTTTTTTTATTTGTAGATATTGTTTTAGCCCAGTTTGAAATAATTTTTAAATAAGGTTGAAGAATACGTATTTTGGCGGCATATATGAACGTTGTATGCAGTAAGAACTGAATCTGAACATCGAACAAATAATGTATGAATCATTTATTTATAAAGAGATGCAATCAGTAAACAAAATTATCAAATATATAGAATACATGTATAAAAATTCATAAAAAGCCTAAGTTGTGATAATCCCCATTTAAAAGGCATGGAAAATAAAGGGATCATCGCTTTGCTGTCAAAATCATGTAATTTTCAGTGTTGTATGTTACAAATATGTTCAAATGAAAGGCGATACCAAGAGGACAATCAAAACAATGGTCGAAAAAGAAAAGAAAACAGACAACACTAAGTTAAAGAGAAAACAATCAAGCAACGTTCCACAAAGTTTTTAACAAAAACACGGTATTATATGCACCAGTAATTCAGTGAATTTTGTTATTGTGAAATTATAAATGATAACTTGTTCCTCAAATGATTGCATTTGATTCTACTATCTTCAGGCATAGCAATAATGACCTTTTCTTCTGGGTCCTCTTTCAAGCGTAATTTTGAAATATAGATGAAATATAGCAATTATAGTGAAAAGTGTAAATTTGATTTCATGTGATCTTTAAGTTCTCCACTATGATGTTGGATCATAGTTCGTCAGTTCGTCAAAACCCTTCCATGATTTTAACTCTGCTCTGGGTATGATGCTTGATTTATGCATTGCAGTTTTACTGTACCAATCTATTTCATATATGTTTGTTTCTGTTTTTAATGAACGAGAGTAATAACTAGCGTCACCATTCTGTTTACATCTATTTCCACTTGGACGTCTCACAAATAAAACATAGAGACAGAAACATATTAGAATCAAAATTATAATTCCAGAAACAATAGTGGCTATAACCCAGTTCAAATTCAAAGAAACTTCCTTATTTCCCTTGTTTATTTCATTAACGGGTTTATCAATGAACTCAAAAGCTGGAGTAGAGTCTTTTGGTTCGACAGAAGTAGTTTTTATGTCAGCTTGTGTGGTCATAAATGGATCAGGTCTATTCAGATCAGTTGTGGTTGTTGTTTGTTTATCTGGGGTAGTTTTTATTTTAACTGGAGTCGTTGTCAATGCAGGGGATGTGGTTGTAAGTTCAACAGATATTTTAAGTGTACCCATTGATTCAGTAGATGTGATTGTTGATTCTTCGGATGTTGGTTGAGTCATTGTTCGTTCCTTAAGACTAGTCCTTACTTTAGAAATCGATGTTAGTTTAGATAATATGGCCGTTGGATCATACGACGATTCAGCCTTTGTGATTTTTACTTCGCTATGTGTGATTGAATGTTCAGCTGAATTGGTTGCTCGTTTAGCAGGGGTAGTCATCGGGTTAGCAGAAAAGATAATTGGTCCAGATTTTGTCGTTAGCACATTCGAGGTTGTTGTTGATTCGACAGAAGGGTTTGATCGTTCAATTCTTGTCGTTAGTACAAATGGTGTAGTTACTGGTTCGGCAGATATGGTTGTTGAGTCAGCTGCTGTGGCCATTGTTTGACTTGAGCTTGTTGATTGTTTCTTAATTGAGGTCGGTTTTTCAGATGTCTTTGTCTTTTGTTCATTTTGTGTAGTTTGATAAGATAGGGTCATGAGATCAGTTTGAGTTGTCTTTAGTTCAGCAGATGTCATGATCTGTTCAGCTGGAGTCATCGTTGGTTCAGATTGGGTTGTCGTCCTCTCAGAGGGTGTGTTTATTGGATTAACAGGCATTGACATTTGTTCTGCGGTTGTAGTAAGTTCACTTTGAGTCGACTCAGTAGCTGTTGGTTCTATTTTTGGTTTAGTTTTTGCTGCTGTTGATGTTAGTTCTCCCTCTGAAATGATTGGTTCTACGGATGTTGTTATTAAATTTGCTGTTGCAGTTGGCATTACTGTAGTTGTTGGTTCTTTTGTGTTTGTTTGATCTACTTTTGTCAGTTCTACTGGTGTATTTTCTTCCTTTGGTGTTGTGTTTGATTTTGGTGTTTTTGTTGTTTGCAAAAATGATTTTGTGATTGGTTCTACTTTAGTGGTTGCCTCGATTATTTCAGAATTTTTTGCTGTTGTCCTTAGGTTTGTTGTTGTTGTAGATAGTTTTGCTGTTTTTGGGATACGTTCTGTTGATGTAGTTGGTAGTTCTGAGTTTGTTGTGATTAGTTCTGCTGAGATTATGGTTGGTTCTATTGTTGTTGTAGTTTGTTCTGTAGTTGTAGTTAGATCCGATGTCGTCAAGGTTCTATTAGTTGTTGTTGGTTTATCTGAAGTTGTGCTTGGTTTTTCTGTTGTTGATATTTCTACTGATATTGTGGTTGATACTACTGTTGTGATGTTTAGTTTTGCTGTTGTTGTGCTTTGCTCTGCTGTTGTTGTTTGTGGTACTGCTGTCGTGATGGCTGTATGTGGTGTTGTTAAGATTGGTTGTGCTGTTATTACGATTGGTTCTGTTGTTGCTGTGGTTATTTCTGCCGTTGCTGTGGTTAGTTCTATTGTTGTTATCATTATTGGTTCTGCCGTTGAAGTTGTTAGTTCTAGATCTGCTGCTGTTGTTATCAATGGTGTTTCTGTCATTGAGGTTGATTCTGCTTTAGTTGAGTTTTTTTCTGTCGTTGTAGTTAGCCATACTGTTGGGACTGATGTTCTTGTTGGCTCTGATTTAGGTGTGCGTTGTTCTTCTATTGTTATTTCTGTCGTAGTACTGAGTTTTTTTGATATTTTTGTTGTTGGTTCTGAACTTGTTTTCGTTTGTTCTGTCATTGTTGTTTGCTCTGATTTTGATTTTGTTGTTGTTTCTGGAGTTCTCGTTTGTTCAATTGTCGTGGTTTGTCCTGCGTAAGTGGAAGTGGGGTTAAATGTTGAAGATGTTGGTAGTTCTATTACTGTTGTTTGGTCTGATTTTGTTGTTGTTTCTGGAGTTCTCGTTTGTCCAATTGTCGTGGTTTGTCCTGCGTAAGTGGAAGTGGGGTTAAATGTTGAAGATGTTAGTAGTTCTGTTATTGTTGTTTGGTCTGAATTTGTTGTTGTTTCTGGAGTTCCCGTTTGTTCAATTGTCGTGGTTTGTCCTGCGTAAGTGGAAGTGAGGTTAAATGTTGAAGATGTTAGTAGTTCTGTTATTTTTGTTTGGTCTGAATTTGTTGTTGTTTCTGGAGTTCCCGTTTGTTCTATTGTCGTGGTTTGTTCTGAGTAAGTTGACGTGGGATTTGATGTTGTTGCTGTTGTTAGTTCTGTTGTTGGTATTTCAATTTTGGTTGCGGCATTGGAACCTTCAATTATGAATGTTCAAGTAGAGTGTTATACTATAGACAATGTTTTAGTCAGATTGAATGTTTATTTAATATACATTTTTATATCATGTAACAACTGTTTCAAGATATGTGTAAGGCACCCACCATTCATTTTTATAGAGGATGCATGGGTTAACATTTGTTTTAAAATTTAATCATAAACAAACTTTTTTTTCGATAACATGCATACTATAAATGATCACAAATATCGGAATTCAAACTAGTAAGTTGTAAGCTTTTATTTAGAATTAGAATATATTTCTTTTATTTTGGTTTAAGTCCAACATTGTTATCAAATAACTGTGTACCGAATTTGCTTCTTTTGATGTGTATTTCAGGATTCAACGTCATCGGAAGCAATCAGAGTCGAATAATTTGAATGCAAACCATTTATAAATATATTCGGAGTTATATAACAAAAATCATAGCCAAATTCTTATCAACATAACCTTGCCTGAGAACCTCACATTTTTTGATAATTAATCTTTTATTCTTTATTGCTGAGAATCTTATTGAAAGTAGAATAGCTGTAGTTTAAACACAATTGGAAAACAAGTTTCTGAAATAACCTTAATCAGATATGGTGAAACAACTTTAGAATTGAAAAAAGCGTTAAGCTAAAAGATAAAAGATTATAGAAAAGATTGAAGATCATTTGATTTCCACAGAACATTTACACATTTAAACGTGTCTGCCTAAGGGATTTGCAACCTTAGTGTTGTTACACATTTTTTTTTACGACTAGAAATTAAGAATATGAATATGAATATATCGTTAACATCACTGAATAACTGGGTACTGGATGATGGTAATATCAGAAACTGGCACGTCAGTAGTTACTTCATTCATTAAAAGTAAAATGATAAAAATACCGAACTCCAAGAAAATTCAAAACGGAAAGTCCCTTATCAAATGGCAAAATCAAAAGCTCAAACACATCAAACGAATGGAAAACAACCGTCATATTCCTGCCTAGGTACAAGAATTTCCTGATGTAGAAAATAGTGGATTAAACCTCGTTTGATAGCTGGCTAAACCTCTCACTGGCTTGTATGACAGTCGCATAGAATTCTATTATATTGACAACAATGTATGAACAAAACAAACTGACATAATAAATAAACATTTCAAAAATTTGGGTACAATTGATTTATATTAATGACTATTTTGAAGTCTACTTATACCTACCATTTACAACAAGTGTGACACATGTCTGGTCAGTTGATTGTCTGTAAAAGAAATAGAATAGAATGATGCCATTGCTGTTTGTGTGGATATATTTGGTGCCACGATATCTCAGTAGCATGAGTTTGAATCCTGGCCAGGGAAGAACAAAAATTTGCTTCCGCAAATTTACAGATCTAACATTGTTGGGCTGTTGTTTAGGCGAATTATATATATATATATATATATATAGCCTAGGTGGTCGTGTGGTCTAGCGCGTCGGATACAGTGCAGGCGATTTGTTGTCACGATATCTCAGTAGCATGAGTTCGAATTCCGGCGAGGGAAGAACAAAAAATTTGCGAAAACAAATTTACAGATCTAACATTGTTGGGCTGATGTTTAGACGAGTTGTATATATACTAGTATGTATATATATATATATATATATATAAAGAAATCTAAATTGAAAACAACGTTCAAACCTATGATTGCGTTGGATAAAAACCGCAATTTTTATACGTGTGCATGCAAAACAAATTTCTTGGTAGAGGGGTCTAAATACAGCACAAACAACATTTACCAAAAGACCAAAAAAGTGAAAAAGTATATTTTAACAAAACGCATTTGACTAGCAGGTCGAACAACTGATGTTCTTAAACCCTGCTGACTGCCATTGGCGATTGCCAAATAAACGGATCACCAGATGTAACAAAATGGATCTTATTATTGATTTATTACCAAACAGAAAACAATAAATTTGCGGAAAAGATGGTATACCGCAAACATGAGGTGCAAAAATTTGTACACCATATCCGGATTTCGACAATTAATGTCTCTTCAGTGATGTTAGGAATCGAAACGGTATTTGGAAGGCCATATAATTTACCTCAATTTAGGATAGACTCTTAAATTTTGAAAGAGTCGAAATAGGATGAACGGATCATATAAACCCGAAGGCAAATATAATACAAGCCCAAACGAAAAAATATAAAGAAATCTAAATTGAAAACAACGTTCAAACCTATGATTGCGTTGGATAAAAACCGCAATTTTTATACGTGTGCATGCAAAACTAATTTCTTGGTAGAGGGGTCTAAATACAGCACAAACAACATTTACCAAAAGACCAAAAAAGTGAAAAAGTATATTTTAACAAAACGCATTTGACTAGCAGGTCGAACAACTGATGTTCTTAAACCCTGCTGACTGCCATTGGCGATTGCCAAATAAACGGATCACCAGATGTAACAAAATGGATCTTATTATTGATTTATTACCAAACAGAAAACAATAAATTTGCGGAAAAGATGGTATACCGCAAACATGAAAAGATGCTATACCGCAAACATATATATATATATATATATATTTCTAAATCAGAAGTTTATAGGAATCCTCGACCGAAAAGACAAATAAATAGTTTATTAAAGTAAGTAAACCTGACAGTTACCATGATAAACATAGCTAACATGTTCCATAAAGAGAACAGAATTTAGAAAATGACCAATAAACCACATCTTTGATAATAACAACGAATAATAAGAACAAAAATAATAATAATTCTTATTTCAAGTAGGCAAGCTCAATGAGTACAAATACTATTATCCCTTGGGGATCTCACGACCCACTCACATGTATAAAACAAAACTTTACAGAACCAAGATAACATTATAAATCATAATGAAGACATTGTTTATACTAAATACATTCATTTAACAATTTATGGATTATCCAGTATAAACTTAAAACAATTTAGTTTGAAAGCATTACATTTGACATGTGTCTTTTGATCACCGGTATTTCCCCAAATTTTATAAGAATAATCCAAAAAAGGAAAAATATATACTGTAAGTAATTAAAGAAGTATAACAAATATACCATACTCCAAGGCACAAATCCATAAAAACTGACAAAATCAAGCGCTATTAATCAACGGAACAAGCGAAAAACTATTGCCTTATTCCTGACTTGGTACAGGTATTTTCCAAAGATAAATGGTGGGATAACCCTTGTTTTATAGCTAGCTAAACAGGTGGTCAAGAGGAACTACCATCTTCTTCAACGCAAGCGGCATCCATCTTACTGCACCATAGGCAGTCAAATATGATATGAACAGGAATATTTTTCCAACAAGTAGTAAGCATGCTCTATCAAGGATGACGGGATACTTGTCGAAAGCCTCTAAACAGGAAGTCAACTGTCGCTTGTAAACGTGACACTCAGTTGGTGTAGGTATTTAACCGGTAAACAGAAAGGAAAATCGTTTGGAAAATTAAAATCAATATGTTTATGTTGAAGGTGTGTCTTAATAGAGAGGCGAAAGATACTGAAGGGACATAAAACTCGAAAATAAACTGACAAAGCCATTGCAAAAAACGAAAAATACCAAAAGACAAACAACAGTATGCAAAACACTACATAGAAAGCTAAAGTCTGAGCAGCACGAACCAAACAAAAATCCGGGGGTAATCTCATGAGCTCCGGAAAGGTAACCAGATCCTTCTCCACATGTGGCATCCGTCGTGTTGTTCATAGTACAAACTCGGTGATAAGTTATATAAAAAGAAATTTAACAAAAATACCGAACTTCAAGGGGAATTCATACTATTTTAATTTTTTTGGGGTTTTAAGTCCAAGTGTGAAGCTTCTGTGATTCCTTACTTGTAACATGCTTTTTTTCAAATATGTGCACAAAATGAAGAAAACCAAATCTGCAATCTGATTCTATGTTGTAAACTTGTCTCCATAATTCATAAAAATATAATAGCAATTCAAAATGTAAGCAATTCAGTTGAAAAAATTGAGTGTTTATTGTTATGAAGTTTCATGTTCAGTTCGTTCATGTGACAGTACAAATTCATATCCAGTTGAATCCAGCATCCTGCAATTAAAAATTGAAATTTCAATATCATCTAGTAGACATTGAAATTTCTATTTTTAATTGCAGGATGCTGGATTCAACTGAATATGAATTTGTACTGTCACATGAACGAACTGAACATGAAACTTCATAACAATAAACACTCAATTTGTTAAAATCAAAAATTGAAATTTCAATATCATCTAGTAGACATTGGAATACTGATTCATACCAATTAAAATCCCGTACAAATCAGAATTATTAAGTAGCAATCACTTCACTGAGCTGAAGTGCATTATGCTTTTTCGATCCATACTAACCCGCCACTGTCAATTGCTGTGTAGCAAAAGAGATGACTCCCTATTTGATCCTCCGAGGGTATCCATGTCACTGTAACATACCATTCTCTTCCAGTATCACCAAATACCTTTAAATCAGATTTCACCATCCCAATGGGAGAAACAGTGGTGATTTCAATAATTCTGAAATGATAGATAAAAAAAAAGAAATAATTTACTGGTAATAATATTAGCAAAGCCTTTTAAGCGGTATCCATGTAGTTGGAATATTTTTGTCAAAGATGGTTGGATTTGCAATATATATTTCAGTTAGTGGCAGGTTAACTGACTACAATAGATTATTATACAATGCCAATATTGTGAACAGAAACATCATACCCTCTCTCCAAAACGAAGCTAAACAAACTACAAAAGACAAACATAATTATGAATTAGACACTCCACGGAGCCTATATCGCTCACCGAGTATTTTTGCCAAAAGATAGTTTCACGCAACACGTAAATGCATGTAACACTGGAAAAAAACCATTTATCATTTGAGTGTGACAGAGTTTTTGTCTTTACATTAAAGTTTCAAGGTAACAGTCATAAAATGGAAAAATAGGTTAGGGGCAACAATTGCTGCAAGGAAACAGTTGACAATTTCAATCATGCATGTAGACTTGTTTGATCTAACATCGTTAATAAATTGTCCTGTTTATAGGTTTTCACTATAAACTATAGTTTTCACCAAAAACGCAGAAATCGTTAAAGTCGTCATTAAAAGGACAATTACTCCTATAATAA